TAGCATCTACTATTTCATAACAAGGGGAATATGGATTCTCAATGTGCCCAAAGATTTACTCATACAAACTAGATTGAGCACTCTTATCTAATGCTAGCCCAAACAAACTCTCAAATCTCACAACAGTTCAGCAGCCTTTCCTCTTTCCCACTCATGGTTTTGTTCACATGATTGAAGACAACAGTATTGTTAGTGTTAGACTCCATCAACTTCTAATGACACCAGTTAGAGTTAAAAGTAGTCAAAATCAAAATCTCAATTGCCAAGCTCCTTCCTCAGAAACCTAAATGAAATCCTCTTTAACCATCATATCTCACTTAAGAGGAAGCTTAATAGAACAGATAAGGTTTAAAAGGAGGCAATGAAAAAAGAGAGGTTCTAAGATTCTATTGTCTGTCACTGAATGCCAAGCACCCAAATCCAGGCGGCTGAGAAAACGGTCAGTAACTCCACTCAGTTTCCGTTTCAAAAGTTTTATCCATTATAAACACATTATCACAAATTTTACTGGTTTACTTCCAAGGGAACCTAGCAACTGAATACAAAAAACACAGAGGAACTAAATATGCCCATAGCCAAGCTCCAATATCAGGGTTTCAATTTGAGATCTCCAGTGATGGTTCAGGAAATCACGGATACAAACACTGCATGTGTTCAGCATGGGCATACTGGGTGATGTGACTGTGCCAGTGGACACACAATGGATAAAGAATTGCCAAGTCTCTTCTGCTTTCCATTCTTTTTGTTATTCCTCAATCACCAAAAAAAGTAGTCAAAACCAGAAAAAGGACGAACTAAAGAAGCAGCAGTGTACTACAATCACTTTTTAAAAATGGATTACACACAAAGCTAGGGGCTTTTCCAAAGACATCAAGGGGCAGAATGAAGCCCCTGACACAGAAATTACCTACTTTTCCAGGCCACCAGACTAGGTCTCACACCTGTGCCACCAACTCGCTAGGTGAATCTGGCTACAGTTAACCTGTATTTCTCAATTAGCTTTGCTAGAAAATGGAGATAACACAGACCAATTCCCTAAAGATTATAATTAACATCAGCAGAGTACCCGATGATGTTTGCACAAAAAGAGGTGTTGAAAGTATTCTGGCCATTATCATGACCCTTAAAAATTTGAAAATCAGTTTAACAAAGGGTGAGGGTGAGCTCCAGCACATACCAACAAACTCTATACTAATTGCTACAGAGGCAGCAGTTACTCTTGTTACCTTGTACCTTTTGGCAGCCTTGTAAAAAAGGGAATAAAATGTCCATATTCCAGTGCTAAATGCTCTGCAGCAAGAAACAGAAAGAAACAGCACATGCCCAAAATAAAAGAGGAAAAGTTAAATAATCCTGCAAAAGAAAATACCCTGCTCCTTCTAATATGATCCAGGGATTTTTTTAATTTAGTGAGAAACCAAGGGCGTGTTTTATATTTACAACCAGTAGTTTTCTATTTACAACTAGTACTTCTTCCAGATACCCAGCACCAGCAAGGGAATGAGTATGTTTTGTGGCAAGAAAAAAAACCCAAAACAAACCAAAAAAACAACAGACAAGGAGCATGTGGAAAGGCGTCACTTACAAGCTCTGCTTCCTTAGGTTTTTTCCTACAACTCAGGCCCATGTTAGGGGCTCTCTTATGAATAACCTTCATAGCGGCAATTTAGATTGCAGCAGATTCAGCAGAAAGCACAGGCCAACAGCAAACATATTCAAGCTCTTGAAAATGTCTCAAAAGCAGCACAGTATGGTTAAAAAGCCACAAGAGACCACTAGGGAGAGACCAAATGAGCTAAGAAGAGAAGCAGAAAAGATTATGTAATTACATTAAAGAGAGAAATTAGACCAAAGAAACAAAGATTATAAAGAAAAAGGGAATTTTCTAACACTTTGACCTCACAGAAAGGGGGTCTGTCCTATGTAGTTTCATCTTTTGCATAACCCAGGGCTTTGCTTTGAGTGGTTGCAAAAAGACAAACCTATAAGAATTCCACAAGTGTTCATGGGATTATCAGAGATGGCTGCACGTAGAAGCAGAAAGGGATGCAGCAGTGTTCACTGATAAGCTGGACTCAAGGAGAAGCTGAGCCCGCACTGACGATGACAAACGTGGCTGTAAACAGCAGCAGAGCGAGATGCTGACACTCTGCTAACACAAGGTTACACTTCCCACTATGGAGCTACATGGCAAATTTTAATGGGCCAAGACCGACAGCTAGGGAAATGAGTGTCCGCTCGCTGCTGCAAAAATTATAGCTCTCCCCATCCCCCTCCTACTCATTCTCCACTGTCAGTGCTATAACACAATGACCTCTTATTAGAGAGTATTTTTCAGTTGGGACAGTTTATTGTAAGGACACTGGATAACTCGAGGGATTAATGGCATGGACATGGAGTCCCTTATTTCCAGTTTGGTAGTTCAAAACATCAAAAGTGGGTTGAAGGAAGAGCAATTAGGAATGTGACATGAGTTTGTAGGGCTCCCTTCTGAAGGCCTCAGTAAGGCCATAAACCTTAGCAAGGTATGCTCTGAAGACCCAAAACGCAGGACACAACATGATGTGTCAGACCACATCTGCTACGTGATCTTGCAGAACACTGAAATCCTCTTACAAACAACTAGAAATCATTGCTTCTCTTGGATTCCTG